TACAGCTGTGGAGGTAAGACAAAATGCGCACGCTAGTTCTAACAGGTCTAAAACTTTCTTCAGATTTTACAAGTTAATAATGGCACAATGCGCGGCCATAATATGTTTTAATCTACCCTATATATCTTATTTCTTCTCTGTCGGATCTCTAACAGCTTTAAAAAATATATCTCTGGAATCAAGGCGGGCGCAATTAATAGTGCATTTAGTAAAAATCAGTTATCCTTTGTTAGGTGTCTATGTTCATCTGTTCTTCGATCCGGATATAATCCTGATCTTTAAAAAAAGATTCGACATATGGAGGAGGAAATGGTAGAATTATATGTAAGAACATGTGCTTATATAGAATCTCTCTACTTTCTAAATTAAATTTATTGAAATAATTTTGCATAAATGATTAGATAAAAATTTTTTTGTATTTAATAAAATATTATATTGTTATTATAACTTAATAATTTTTTATCGTAGATATTTATATGTTACTCCTATAATACAGATTTTAATACATCACTGGCATATTTTTTCTGAAGCGGACAGTTGCCCAAAGGCCTTCTCATCCACATTGATCCCAACGACATATAGTAATACCTAGACCGCTGATAATTCATAACAATAAGCATCTAAAAGCATCGTTGATAGCAAATCAGCTGGACCCGACATTTTAGTAACATATATAGCACTTATTCTCGTTTTAAAAACTACCAATAAATTGATAACTTTCTTCCATATCATCTCGATTCAGGCGACAAATTCTTTTATAAAATTTGTTGCGTCAGACATAGGAATAAATTGGGACCTAGTTTTAAATTTTAATAATGATATGGGTAATAAAAATGGCGTCCACAGCTGTATTCATTGATCTAACACTTTTAATGGTTGCATCGTCAGTCTGGATATTACTATGTGTCTTTCCCCTATCCCCAACTTTATTAAAATTGTATATAGAATTCTTCAAAGCCTATTTGATCTCTCGCATTATATGGTATTCTTCATTTTGTACGACCTTCCCTTTCCTCTTTTCCTTGATTAAATCTTGTAAACAACAAATATAATCTTAGTTGTACATTATATAAATTGTAAATCTTTTAAATATAAGTGTAAATTTCTAAACCCCCCCCCCCTCATTATCTGTTTATAAACAAATAAATTATAGGCTTCATTACATGAAGATACATATATTCTACATGATAATTATAAATAAGCATTGTGAAATACACTAAATATTTGTATTATTTGTTGTTATGATATATTATAGTTTGATCAAAATTAAAGTATTTTTCCTTTGATATTTTAAATGTTACTTTGGGATTCGAAATCCATCGGTTCAAAAAGCTCTAAATTTTAAAACATTTACGATCATAATTGAAATTTGAAATTAGGTAGTATATGTGAGGAGGGTGGAGTAGGGGGCGGGAAGGAATGGGGTAAGTTTGGAATACAGCAACCCTGTTTTTTTTGAAACTATATTATAATAATACGAAAAAAATAAACTGTATAATAATATAAAACATATTAAAAATGTTTATTTTTATTTCAAGATGAAATGGCTATATGGTATTAAATTAATTATCTTATTATTTTTAGATAATAATGATAATATTAAAATCGATATAAATTAAATTTGAGTTATTACTATATTTTGGGCCAGCGACTTTATTTATCATCTATCAATGATTGGAGTTATGAACAAATGGATAACGGGTGGAAACATGAGCGAAATACAATTCATTATTCTAAAGGATATCATTGGCGCGAATGGGGAATTAGCATTTTTGCTTCATCATCTCATTCGGAATCCCTGGCAACTTCATAATGATTTTTTTTGGTGATCGCTTCGAAAAGACTCCAATTGTCAAAGTTCAAAAAAAATCCAAATTTTATTTTGTGACACTAGCATTGGCAAACATATAGTCGTTATTGATAATTTTGATTCCTTGGGTCGTTCACGATTATATGAGTTTCAAAAGACAGTACTCACTAATTTCTGGAGTATGGTTCGAGAAATTAGCATGGTTCTTCGAAGACAGCCTCAACTGTTTCATCATTTATCTCTTAACGTTAATGTCCATAGATCGTCTGGTCGCCATTAGATATCCCTTCGTGTATTCTAATTTGTTCAAATTTCAAAATGTTAAAAATATGTGTACGTTATCACTGTCCTTAGCATAATATAGCATTGCCATTCTTAAATTATTATCAAGTAAAGGAGATATGTTGTTTTCACCAAGCTGGAATCAATTTTCCCTCTTTTAAAATATTGGGTAACAAGGTAATAATTAATGCGACAATTGTCAACTTAACAGATGATGTCGCCTTATATATACATTCGCCCCCTGGTTGCAAGCGTTAACCCAGTATATAGATACGTATTTAACAAGCAAATGAGAGCATTTTCTTTGATATTCGATAAATTTAAAGCCATATTCACGAATTTAATACCTTACATCATCATATTAATTAGTAACACGACAACAGCTGTCCTTCTTTATAGACTGTCTAAGAAAAATCTCGAGAGATTAGAAATACCTACAATCAATCTCCCCCGGTTAATACATCACGAAAGACCTAATATTTCACTTTCAGAAAATTGGCATTCCCAAAGTGTCTCTAAACCATGTGCGAGTTCAAAACCGTGCAGTAGTTTAAATCCTAAAAATACTGACAGAAGTGTGATCATGCCTATCAAAAGTGATTCAAATTCTATTTACTCTCAAAGCAAAGAGATTAGTAAAAATAACCCTGAATTCATAGTGGCGCGATTGCGATTGCGATTTAGACGCGATAAATACAAAATACAGTAAATATGATATGGCATTCATAGTTACCGATCGCGCGATTTGATACGCGAAAGCAAATCGCCGCGATTTTTTCAAAACACAAATCATTTTGTGTTTATCGCGAAGATTTTGAAATATTGCTTCGTTAAATACACATTTTGGTAAATTTATCTCATAATTTAAGTAGCGCTATTTTTAAATTATTTGAAATGAATTCAATGCTTACAATACAGTTTTTGATGATGTTAAATCAAAGAATCATCAAGTTAAAATTATGATTTAAATCAAAAAATTTTTTTTAGAAAATAGATAAAACAGCTTTTATAGTATATGAATGTTTGTATAATAAACATAATAATTTATATAAAAATATTATATACAAGAATAATATTTGGGAATTATTAGCCCACCAGTATAATATGCCTAGTAATAATTTTGCATATATATTAAATTTATAAACCTTTTTAGGTTCATCTCTCAAAGCTCTTTGGAAAAATCTAAGAGATTGTTTCTTAAAAGAGAGAAACAAGCTTCACAAACTTAAAAGTGGGTCAGAGGCTGGCCATCATATTTCATGGCCATTCTACCAGGATATGCATTTCTTGGTAGATACTGTAACACCTAGGTTACAGCAGTCCTCTTTAGATAAAGTGAACTCTACTCCTGCAAATGTCAATGAGATATTAAATGAAATATCAGGGGAGTTATATGAATGTAAAATATAGAATTTTAATTGATAATGTATTTATTATTTAAGTGATCTCATTGACAATGAGAATATAATAGATGATAAACTTATTCCAAAACCTCCCGTAGAACTAAACCTTAATGATTCTGGTAAATAATAATATCTAAAAATAAATATGATTTATATTGAAGAATCTATCTCCTATGTTCTATCACCTCGTTCATATTATAATGTCATAAGAGAAAGAAAAATGATTTAGGTTATTTTATTATTTGATTTTTTGAAATTTTTAAAAGATGACTTTAAGAAACTAATTAAATTAGAAGAAAAAACATTAATAACCATGCAAATGCTTAGAAATAAACCAACTACATATGGAATATGTCTTATGTTGAAAGAAAAATTAGATGATTGTACAAATAAGGAAAAAAAAGATTTAACAACTATAATATTTGATGCTAAAAAAATTTTAAAAGTATTAAAGATTTGAATTGAAAAAAATTAATTTGTATATTTTTATGTTATATGAAATAGATATTATGTATTTGTATTATTTGAAATATATATTTTATTTAAAATAAATTAGACAATTAGCCTTCTTAGTGATATATTTCTACACATATAATTTATAATGAATTTAGACTTTATTAAAACTAAATTTATTTTTATTAAAATATATGAAAAATACAAGATAAAATATAATTTAATTTATAAAAAAAAATATATATATTTATAATATAGGATTTTGATATAAATATAAGCATAATAAATTTCTATTATATTTTGCAATATTAGATGAAGATTTAATTGATTGTTGATTAAATAAATTATTTAAAGGAGTTGATTTTTTTTGAGGGTTAAAAGGAATATATTTTTCCTTATCAATAATAATGTTATTGAGTAAGGTACATGTTTTTATTATATCTTCTGTTAGCTCTAATTTGGTATCCATTGGTCGATCAAAGATCATCCATTTAGCTCTTAGAATACCAAATGTGCATTCAACTTGTATTCTAGCCCTAGATATTCTATAATTATAGGCCTCCTGTTGGGGTGTAAGTTTACCTTAAGATAATATTGAAAACAAATTTAATTATATATAAAAAATTAATAATTCATGAATATTAAGATACTGGCCATTTCAATTAAGTTAATATTAGCCAAAATAATTGCTTTAATATATTATATAAATAATTCAATATATACTATATACCCTTATAAGGTTTTAAAATATAGGACTTCAATTAGCATCATCACTTACAAAATAATGTGGGAAAATAAGGCTGGAATTGGGAGGCAATTTAATCTCTCCACTTTCTATCATTTTATATATTTTGGAGTTAGCAAAAACTCCTCCATCAGATTCACTGCCAACATCAACAGTTATAAATTTTCCATTAGCATCCACAATTCCTTGTTTTTACAATATTTAAATAATATATTTTTTCAAAAATTATATTTTTGTAATTATCAAGTTTTCATTACAATCTTTAATTAATGCAGAAATATTTAATTAGAATAAATAAAAAACAAATTCACAAACCTTGTAAAACAACAGAGAAGTGTTTGTAATTGTAAAATTCATATCCAGAATGAGGTGGTTTCCTTATTCTGCAGTGTTTACCATCAATACTACCTATACAATTTGGTAGATTCCATTTTACTTCAAAGTCCTTTTAAATAATAATTAACATAAATATAATATTATATATTATACCTTCGCTATTCTCTCAAAATCAGAGAGAGTAGGTGGTGGCATATGTTGGCTTACCAAAGCTTGCCATATAGCTTTGGTAGTTCTCTTAACAATTTGCTGGATAGTAGATATACCCCTTTTGAAAGAATAAGCTAGGGTAGGATACCTACATCCTGTTGCTAAATACCTAAATAAAAAATATATTTAAATAATTAATTGCTTTACCTTAGACAAATCATATGCTTTTCTTCAACAGTAATAGGATCCTTTATAAAATTTGATGATGTTGTAGGCAATATAGGTTTTATATGCTTAATTATATAATAAAAAGTTTCCTAAATTAAAATGAATTATAGATAAAATAGAACAAAATTACTTTTGTCATCCTCATATAGTTGTAAAATTTAGGATCATCTTTTAAGAGATTAGGAAAGAGGATGTAAAATTCGCCTTTTTTTCTTTTATTAATATTAAGCGTGTTTAATCTTCTCTTCAACATCATTTTGTATAAAAATATATAATTTGAGGATGGATACCATTTTGAATTAATAACGCTTTGCACTGCTCTATAATGAAAATCGCTGCGATCGATCCAGCTGATCGGTCGCTGCGATATCGCGGCGAAAACGCAATCGCTCTTACTATGAATTCAGGGTAATGCTGGCAAGACCCGACAGTACCTAACACCCGCGATAACCATTTCAAAGGGTAACAAAGTTTCCTCGGGTTCATTAGTAACAAGCACAAGGTCCTCCTTGAAAATAAACACAATAAGAGCGAGGAATAGAGATTTTACAATCCTTACGGTATGTTTATGTTTAGTATCTCTAATATTTTCTTTGCCTTGGCTTATATTCGTATTTCAGAAACCGCCAGCCGGGACAGATGACTTATTGGAATATGCTCCTATGCTAATATTTTCCGTGTATGTCATGATGTATAGTCAATACCCGGTTTATCCTCACTTGATTTAACTTCGCCCCTTTATCGTAAATACCTTCATCAAATCATCCTATGCCAAGTATGTTTTTATGGGTATTAGCTCCTAATTAAGTGAATAGCATAATTGGCTCCCATTATTATACTTTTATATGAATTTTAATACAGATACATTGCCTAAAATAATATCTAGTAACGGATAAGGATGCATCATCAAAGCATGTAACTCTAGATACATATACAATCTCAACTTTTTTTATTGTAATCATATAAAGTGGACATAATGTCATAATTTAGAATCTATTATTAAAACTTAAATTGTTGAGTACAAATATTTTTTATTTACGTTTGATACTTTATGTTATTTATGTAAAATGTATAAACAATGATTATTAAAATATTTTAAGATTTTATTAATAAAACCATTCTCAAAGCATTTATCATTGAGGCTTCCTTGTTTATCTGTAAAACTTTAGCAATATTAAAAAGTCTTTAACATGTGCACGGTAAGGTAGTGAATGTTATCCCAAATGTATAATATAAGAAAATCTTTAAATATATTTAAATCACAAGCACAAAGATTTTATTCTTATTCAAATCCTTTTAAAGTTATTGAGATGATGATATTAAATCCTTCAATTTGGGCTATTTTATTTTTAGTGTAATATGGAAACTTATTAAATTTTTGATCGCTGTGTTATTTCATTTTTTTTTCTCTTTCTTTAACTTTAAGTCCAATATAGCCTATACTATATTTCAAATATATCTAGATAAGAGAGACATGTTCTAAAAATGTTTCTCAGTAACAAGTACATCATCGAAACATGATTGAAAATAATTATATTGTAAAGTTAGCACAATGCCAAAAAAATAAAATCTATTGTTAAACTCCAAGAATTGAACTAAACATTTTTATTTTGCCTATTATAAGCATTTATCAATAAAAGTTTATTTTATCTTTTACATTAAAGAGGCATCTCGGTCTAAACAAGTTTTTAGTCCTACTAAAAGTCTGACACTGGCTATGTTGAGTTAGCCGTTTTTAAAAATTAGCTCAAATCGAGCCGTTTAACAACACTATAATAAGATTTTGGCTTCAAGTTGTTGGAATGAACTTTGCCCATGTTGAATGAGAAGTATCTAATATCTTACAAACAACTCCTAGTTATACTTCTTTTTCAGAAAAAAATTGATCAGTTCGGGGTAATATTCATACGAAGAAACGACAACAGGAAAATTGATAAAAGTATATCTATCATAACTTAAGATTGATTAAAAAATTGAAGATAATGATAATATTGAATATAAATCAGAAAAAGACTGCCACGGAGAAACATTAATTATAGAATTTAAAATATATAATTTAATAATGCATAGATTCATTTTTTTACTATTATATATGAAATAATGTAAGTTATTATTGTCTTAAACACATTTATTCAAATTTGACAATATTTGACTTGTCAAATATTGGTCAATTGACCGAATCATATTTGACAGGTCATGCCTTTTTTATATTTCATACATTTTTTTTTAAGTTAAAATAAATCATAGATATGTAGAAGTAGACACTTCCTTGAATAATTATACACATCTTGCAGGCAAGAAAGCACATGTGTGTTTGCATTCCATTTGGCCTAAAGACAAGAAAAATGGATATTTTATTAAGGTTCAAAATTTATCATATTTTATTAAATATTATTTATATTAGACCTAGGCTTGTGAATCGATCCTTTTAAAAAAATCGAATTCCGAACGATCTTAAAAAGAGGATGAAGTCCATCACCGACCTTTTTTTAAAAAATCTTTTTATTTAAATTTCTGGAGGAAATTTTTTTAAAATTAACTAATATAAAAATAAATTAAATATGGTATAAATTTGTAATTGAATAATATAATATAACAATTAGAATATATTATATTTATAATTAAAATTAGCCTTTACTAATAAAATTTTTTCTGTTATTATCATTTAAACATCCACTTCTTTCACTAAGTATATATTTGACTTTACTAAACAAGCGCTCCACAGGAGCACTTGATGGCAAAGGTGTGTTATATTCAATAAAAAAATTTTAAATTTACATAATTATTAAAAATATTAATTGAATCATCATTTGTATAAAACAAATTATTATGGAAAGCGCATTTTGTGAAGAATTTTTTCTCCAACTATTTCATCCATATATTCATTTGAAGCATCTAAATGTGGTTGATCCTGCAGATTTTCCAAATGGGCAATTAACATATCTTTTACTAATAGATTTTGTGGCAGATTAATATAAGGCCAATTTAGCTTAAATTTTGAGTGAATTATTGCTGTTAATATGTTACTTTCATTTCATCATACATCGAAGGAAATCTATATTAAGAAATGATAACGAATTTATTATTAAATAAATGTTCATTCATATAAATCAGATATCTGAAAAACGCAGCCCTTTCAAATTTTAGAGTCAGACCTCACCCATTATCTGTATGGTATTTATATTTTCATCATAAATATTAATTAAATTTGATATTATATTTAGACTTAATATACAAAGAAATAAGCATAATGTGTTTATTTTCAAAGAATATTAATCAGAATCAGACAGTGGTTGGAAGTGTCACTAATCAATTCCATTATAGGCAACTGTTTTTTGTGATATTGCTGGCATATTTAGATTATAAAAATTTAATTTTGTTTGCCACCACTTTATTTTGCAGAAAATTCATTTGTGTTTGGCAATGTCATTTCGAATTCACTATGCTTTCTCTTTATAAGAGAAAAATATAGTATTAATTATAAATTAATATGTTGACATTAAGATTAACAAATATAAAAAATTTAAAAGAAGTAATTAATTACTTCTAAATACCTTTTGAGGTTTGAACTATTAATATTTAAGACTATATGTTCTTCTTACACAAAGAGCATGTCACAATTATCATGGCGTAGTTACTTCCATCCGTTTCATATTCAGCAAAATACTTACGTAGCTTATGAAAAGGTAAAAGATACCCGTCAGTAGGTGTATTATCTTCTAAATGGACATTATTAAAACCTGGAATTAATTTATATTATATATAATTAAATAAATAAAACTTGCAGGCTGTCTCGATAAAATTTATGAAATATAAAATATGACGGAATGTGATAAAATGTGATGTAAATAGATATTCTTTAAAAAAAATAATATTTAAAAAAATTTTTATTTAATTTATTGCTTTTTTAAGTAAAAAATAGATTTTTAAAAGGATCGAGATCGAATATTAAACAAAATGATCTCTATCACTATTTTCAATTTTAGACAGAATCATAAATCCGGGAAAATTGCCAAATATAGGATCGAATCCAGGATCGTCGATCCTTTAACAACTAAGATTAACCTATTTGATCAAATCCAGGATCATCGATTCTTTAACAACTAAGATTAGACCTATTTAATATGATTTGTAAAAAAATTGGTTAATGAGCTTTTTAAAATACTTTACACAACTTATCCTGTGTATAATATTATTTTTTTAAGAATTCATTTATTTTAATGATTATATTAGACAATTAAAAAAAATATATATTCAAAGGATATGTGGGAGTTAAACAAATTAAATTATGAATACAAATTAAAAAGAGCCTGCCTTAAAATGGGTGCAACATATGTGAGATACCTACCATATACTGGAACCTTAATATTTCAAGTAATTAGTAAATTTTGTTTTTGATATTTAGGGTTCATTACCCACCTACCCCCCTGCCTCTACCAGTACAAAAAAGGAAGGAAAGTCAATAAAAATGGATATTATCTTTTTTATTATATAATGATGGAAAGCATGATGAATAGGGATTCGTAGTATATCTTTTTAATAAATCAAAATTTATATATTACATTACATTATATTGTTTTATTAATCTAAAATCGAAGTATATATATATATTTAAAATAATTAAAATAATAATGTTGATTTGAATAAAATAAAATTTTATTATTTGAAATAAGCTAAGTTAATAGTAAATAAAAGTTATATAAACAAAGTCAATTCATTTAATTTGTAATCAACTTAAGTCTTGAATGTTGAATTGGAATATATTAATATTTATGTTAAATGACAATATGTAAAAATTGTTTTCTAAATGTAATTAAAACATATGTTGCATTATTAAATAATTATAACAGCTACGCTTATTTTTATATAAAGTTTAGCAGAAAAAAGCATTTATTTAGGGCTCTAATAAATTTGCAATCATTTGATAGAAATTAAAGGTTGGCACATGACAAAAATATTTTAGGACCAGGATGGACAACTTGTGCAAAATATTTATACTTACTAGACTGGAAGTTCACAGTTTTTTAAACTCAAAAATGAGCTAAATTATGTTGCTTGCCCTACTATTACGAGCCGAGCTAAACTGGCCACCTTCAACAAAATTTTATGGGCTTGGAAAAAAATATATAGGCCTAGACCAAAAAATTTCACGAGCTAATTTGGGCGCTCGCTTGTGCCAACCTCCAATTATGAATAACGATTAGCTGCTTTTCAAACCCTCATATTTGAAATTTTGAAAATTGTCCTATAATGTTACTTACTAAGGGCTGTGCCAATATTACATATCAGATCGAGGAAGATATTTAGTATTTTTTGAAATTAGATTTGTTTAATATTCGAAAGGTTCAATATTATAATAATGTTTTTTATTTTGAACATAATTTTTTAATAATAAGTGTTTCTTGTTGCCCCTATTTTAGCCAGTTGTTAGTTTTTTTAAAATGAAAATAGTTCAAAGATAGATAGTAAATTAAAATCAATCTTAATATCGAATCAATTTAATATTAACATCAAAGCGACTCTTTATTTTTGTCATGTTAAATTTCCAATCTGGCGGTATTAGCATAACATTCCTACCACTGATCAGAAGAATGAATTAATGTAACTGGAAACATTGATTGATAACATTGGAGATGTCTGATAATTTTGAAAAATAAATATTTATTAAAAATAATATACCTCTTTTTAAATTTTATACATTTAATTATAAAGTATAACATTTATTATTTATTAACATAATTATTATAATAAGAGTTGGTTACCAGAACATTTCATAAATAACTATAAAAAAAGTAATAATCAGTGATATCGACCCGATACCTCCTCTAGGCACTGATATTAGTAAATATTAGTATCTGAAAAGTGGTATTGCTGAACCTTCGAATAAATTATATAACAATAAAAAATTATATATATTTTAAGTAACTTTAAAAAAAGTAATGATCAGTGATATCGGCCCGATACCTTCTCTAGGCACTGATAAGTAAATATTAGTATCTGAAAAGTGGTATTGATAAACCTTCGAATAAATTATATAACAATAAAAAAATATATCAATTTATTTGCAATTTATATACTTTTTTGTTATTTATTAAAACTAGGGTTATACCGATTTTTGCCGATATTGAACTTTTAGAAATGCAATATTTTTCAAAAATTTAACCGATACCGATTTTATACACATTTTTTATATATATTAATTTTTTTTTTCACATTTTTAAATAATTTCCCTTTCTTATAATAAATTTTCATAACTCTTATAAAAAAGTTTCTTATAAAATTGAAATGTTTAATGGTTTTTTTTAAACATTTTTTAACGAGAGAAGAAGTAAAGTATATTAATTAATTGATATAAACGTAGAATGTTTAAAATTTTTGTTATTTGAAAAAAATTATAATAAATTAAAATCCTGCGAATCTAAATTTCACTAATTCTAAGATATCAATATTTTATCTTCCATTTTCTTGATTATTGGAGGGTTAATGCTAAACTATTTCCAATTTTGGCAAACCTTGCACATAAGTATTTCATAAGATAATTGTAACATGTGCCAAAATGTTTTAGAAAAGGGTTAAAAAAATATTTAATTCTAAATAAATACAAAAAATTTTATTGGATGTTAAAATCAAGACATTTCATAAAATTACAATTCATCTAAATATGGAAATTTAAGAAAATCTTAGCTAAACTAGGGGTAAATAAAATTTAGGAGTTTACTTTAGTGGGGTTTCATAGACCCTAATTAGTCACGATATGCTAAAACTACTCAATTAAAATATATGAAATTTGGAAAATATAATTCAAGATATATTTAATGAAGCTACTGAAGATTCTAGATCATAATTACTGCCTTGGATTCTATAGATACCACCATAGTAAGGGTTAATTTGTTTTTTTTAAATTCAAATAAAGATGCATAGATTATTATATAGAAAATTATGAATATATATATATATACTTTACTAGCATATAAATTTATGCTTATTTAAATTAACTAAAATAGATAAGTGAATATTCTGATCATCATTAAAATAATAATATGGACTATATGTATAATTATTCTTTAAGGGCTATAACTTAATAAAATAAGACACTATTTACTATATATATATCATAGATATAAATCTTTTACAAATTTAAAGATAAGACATATTTTTAAAATTTTAAAGCTTTGAGACTTTTTGATTTTTTAAGAGCCGGGATAAGTGAATATTCTGATTATAACACTTTAAAAAAAATCGATTCAAATTTTTATTATTCCATATAAAAAAAAATCAATATAAATAGGGTATCGATCGATATCAGTGCCGTTTGAAATAAATATGGGATCGGATCAGATCGACAAAAAAATTGTGGGCCGGTTATGGCCCTAATTCAAACACCCTTTTATTATTCGTCATAGTTTGCTTCTATTTCCCTTTTTTGTGGGGAAGAGGGGATGTAGTTAATTCCATACATTCCAATTTGTTTAAAAAATATCACGTACAATTTAAATCAGGATTATTTATTTAAGAAAATGTATATTTAGTAAATCGTGATAATACACAAAAAAACTGCGGTCAATTAACATCTTCAAATGTCATTTTATTACGACCCCATACTCCTTTTCTCTTCTCTTCTCTTCTCTTCCCTTCCCCAAATTATATTTATCTCTGCTAGATTATAAATGAGATATAAATATCAAAAGAAAGAAAGAAAGAAAGAAAGAAAGAAAGAAAGACACTGTTGAATATAGTATTATATTTAATGTTTTATTAAGGAAGAAAAAGCGAAGATATAATATAATTCATCAACATAATCATTTTTTTTTAAAATAAATTTATCATATATAATTTTTATATTAAAAAAAAATTTTAAACTGCATTTTCTTATTTTCAGCATGAGGTTTCTTTCGTAGCTAAAACTATCAATGTTCCCAGACTTAAACAATAACTCTTCAAACAATAACTCTTCAAACAATAACTCTTCAAACAATAACTCTTCTTACATTATCAATTTAAGCCATAAAAATGTTTTTTCCAGTCATTTTGTAACTTGTGTGTGAATTTATTTACATGTATGCCTTACTCTTAGGAATAAAGTTAATTTTTCAAAATTTTTCAAAATTTAATATAATATAAATTAAAAACAAAAGATTACAACAAAATATCGGTATAGGTTGTATATCTGATATTATAGTAGAAAACATTAATTAGTATATTTGCCTGCAGTCCTTTTGAAAAAAAAGAAGGTAATTCTATCCTATAAAGAAATAGAGAATTTTATCTAAAAATAGGCAAAAAAGTATTGTGCACACACTCTCCTCCTTCAACGACGCTACGAATTACTTAAAACTAATATAAATGACATAAATGTAACATAAAATTCATTCGTTCAATAATCTTTTCCTTAGGCTAACTACCTAATGTCATTTAATTGTATAAAATAATATAAAAGATATAGGCTAAGCTAATGCCCACTATGGGTTGAGATTAACATTATTATGCTATGTACTATTGCCATTTCCCTTAATTTACTACTGAAAAAAAAATGTATAAATTTTAGGTTCCTCATTTTTCGCGTTACAAATTAGAAGATAGTGATGATGAAGAGATAGAAGAAGTATCTTACACTCAGCCATTTCAAACCAAGCCCAATTTAACATCGGATTCATTCGTATAAAATTTAATGTATATTTATATCAGCGATCTCTAGAGATATCAATTAGTATGCATCGGGCCTAATTTTTCAAGCCCGGCCCTGCCCGAAATTTTTTTAAATATAGAAATTAATTTTATAATTACTTAAAATAAATGACATATGTTATATAGCGTTTAGTTTCAATAAATTAAATCAAAATTTTATTTATTTTACATAAAAAATTCGATATAAAATTGATAAAATTTGGATATATTTAATAAAATTTCCAAGGTCCGACCAGTCCCAAAAGTTTTTTAAAAATATTAGGCCCGGCTCGAATCCTATTATTTTAAATAGAATTAGGCCCGAAGCCCAGATCTCTAATACCATTTACATGGCCCGGCCCTTATTTTTTTGAAATATATAATATTTATTTTAAATTTTTGTAGCCAATAGATTCAAAATATTTGGTTTTAAAATTTATGTGCCTGGCCGGATATTTATATAAAAAATTTTTTTAGGCCAGGCCTATATTTTTAGATAAAAATTATACGACCCGGGTACACTGGCCGGGCTTAGGTCCTGGCCTGTCGGTCTCTGATTTATATATTACTCTTTTTAATAAAAAAAAATAGATTCAAAATAAAATAACTCATTATATCATCACCTTTCTTGTACAAAAAAAAACATGTAATTTTTTTCTCTTTTTGTTATAGTAAATGTTTTATTTTTATCACATATGAATAAAATATATTTTAAATTCCAAAATATTTAGAAAAAAAATAGTGGCATCATTTATAATTTTTTAAATAAGATTAAATATAGGAGAACATTATATTGTTTGCACCTCCATCTATTTAAATCTGTTCTAATCATCAAGATTATTAATTTCATGGCCATAAAAAGATAAAATCTTATCTTTTAAGATATTTTAACATTTGATAAATTTAAAAATAATAAATGCCATATTTGATTAACTCTTGTTTCAATAAATATTGTATACGTTTATTAAATTGGAATGATTAAAAATATATTTAATTTTAATATTTTGGTGGTTTCAATAAATCTAGGCATTAAGTTTGATTCAATATTAGATGAGTGGTTTTCAATTCATATTATCCTGCCTGAAAGGGTTGTGTAAATTTAAAACAAAAATATTATATTATCCTTGTTTGTTTTTGATTTAAATTCTTGTATTTTAAATATTTTTTTTGAAAAAACTTTATTTGGATTGTTTAAAAATTTTGGTTTTTTAATATATCATTAAAAATAAAATAATATTATCTCTATGCGATATAATAATTAAATTTTTTTTGTTTTTGCAAATTTTTATTCTTTTAATTCCCCAGCTCTCCTCCTTCCAAAAAATATTTTAATCCCATTTTTTCACCAATCTATTATTTTACTCTTTATTTATTTTTGCTTTATTTATTTTTTTTCTCTATTTTTTTATTCGCTTCTTTTCTCGATTTTTTTTGTAACTTTTAAAAATATGGCAAATGGAATGGCTGGTATATATAATCCTTCAGAAATTACCCTATTTAGAATTTGTTCAAACTTTACATTCGTTACTAAAACAATTTCTATTGATTTTCTTATATATGACTAGGCCAGACCTCCTTTACATCGGTCGCGTATCTCGAATCATCCAGATGGAAGCGGTAATCTTTTCGAAGGCGATATTTCTTCTTTCAAAGATTCTCCCTCCGAATATAATTTTGGGAGAGAGGAAAATGTATATCTAATTAAACGGCATAAAAATGGAATTATTTCGCGCGGCAAGGGCTCTCGCTGGGTCTTGGGTGAAAATATGAATTCAACCAAAATCGACGTTCAACCTAAAATTTCGCGTAGTGTATATATTATTTTATGTAAAGCGTAATTCCAATAGACAATACTCGTAATCATGAATATTTAAAGGAATCTAAGATTTTTTTTCCCCTTGTATTGTAGCACAAATAGTATAAAATAAAAAGATAGTATACAATTATTGTTAATAATGATTCAAATTCAGAATCTATACTTTTAAAAAAGGTTAAATTTTTTTTTAAAATTAATCATCTTTGAATAAAGCCCTCTAATAATTCATTCTTTCATAAAGCTCCCAACCTAATGTCTCCTTCACTCCTATTCAACAACCTGGAAAATTCTTTTACAAGAACAGTGTACTTTCCTATTCAAATGAATGATCGTAATGACAATATTATTAAAATGGATTGAAATAATGAAAGAATACAAGATGGTTTCGATGCTAACGAGAGAAAAAAAAGTGTTAGGTTCAGTGGCGAGATAATGAATGTGAGTGGTAATGAAGCAAAACTATTATTTAATATAATGCGTAATGATAATAATGATACCAATGAAGTCCGTGATTTAGTTGATGATACGTCTATCAATACTAGTAAAAAACAATTATTTTAATATATTCATTACATATTACAATTTACAACTCTTTGTCTTAGCCGAGTCTTTTATTATTAACCACCTAATAAAGTGTATCGAAATTAGGACTATGCCAATAGCCCCAGTTACCACTAGGGGCTGGAATTGAATATTAAATGACCCTATTTTTTCCCCTTATGTCAGTTCACCTACGATAGAAACATTTAAAGATTTGAACAAAAAATACAGATTATTAAAATGTTGTATCATAAGGAATAAGTTTCTTTTATTTTATCAGATGTAACATGCATTTAAAAAAAAACAAAAAAAAGTAACGAATTCCCTGCTTCCAGATTATTCCATCTTTCAGTACATCCCATATCCACTGCCTTCATTTATGTCTACCGATGCTTATAATATTAATCCCAATAGTCTATGTCCAAATTACAGAGGTTTCAGACCTAGCTGGGGTCCGGGTAACATGTTGGGTTTGCCAGCTAGCGTTGTAAGGGGAAGGAATGCCAAACAAAGTTATTTTTCTTTATTTAATTTTGTTCAACAAGTCATGGACATCATACATAGCCCGATTTATCATAATTTAAATCCGGAACTCCTAACTGAACTTTTCACAAAATTATCAAGAACCGGAATTTTAAAATGTCAAAGAACCATCGGTTCTTTCTAGTGTTAAACGGCTCTATTTGAGCTAATTTTTAAAAACGACTAAATCAATATATTATTCAGCAAAATATTATGGAAGCCTGAATATTTTGCTCATAGATGGCACAAAGGTTTGGACATCTATTAAATAAATCTCAAGGCATAGGCAATATTTTTCTGGCTAAAATATGGAGTTAATCGAGCCTTTAACAACACTAGTTCTTACAAAAATGCAACTAATTTATATGCTTAATTTCTTCAAACTAGCTTGATTTCATTTTATAGGATTTATTTAGTGTTTAAATTTTTTTTTGAAATTTTTCATTTGCTTATTCAAAAGTTTAAAACTCTCAAAACCTCGTCTATTCTTCATTATTTTTTTAAGAAAAATCGCAAACCTAAGTATTTAAGATATCTGAGTATTATTTTCAGAGCTCATGGGTGTCGCATTCTTCCCATATTCGATTTTGCAAAATTTAAATGTATTTTATATATTTTTTAAAAATAATTGCAAATATAATTTAAACATACAATCACCTAAATAGTTATCACGAATAAGATACGATAACGACTAAAGTCAAAGTTATTGATATATTGATTTGGAAAAACTCCATCTTAGCGGCATGAGCCAATATTTATTGATTAAAAGCTTGGCTTTTCCATTTCAGAGTCGGTTCGAGCGGAAATATTATAAATTATTTTTTTTACAAATATAACAAAAATGAAATTTATTTTCTATTTAGTGCAGCAGTCATTGTTCCTCCCGTCAAATCCTCGATTAACGAAGTTATGATATGTCAATTATCATCTAAACTAGATCAAGATACGTTTGATAGATGATCCTCGGGTATTAGAGGATATTATTATTTTGATTTTATATACACTTTAAAAAAAAACATGGTAAAGCAAGAAAATGGGGAGAAAAAGGAGTAAGGCTATAAAAAATATTATATAGGGGTAAAAAATGATTGATTTTAGTCTATATGTTTTATATATATTTTATTGTTAAATAAGATTAAGGCCTGATGTGGAATAAGGTAAATATATTTCTTAGTAGAACTGCGCCGATTTTCTGCCGATATTAAAATGGCTTGGTTATGTGTATTTGAAATTACCACAAAATTAACAAATCTTTTTTAATATATAGCCATCTTGAAATGTTAATAACACTTGAAATATGTTATAAAACAAAAATATTTTAAAAGGGAGTTGGTAGCGGCTAATTAACTTAGCCTACATTGCAAAGCCGATCAAGTTTTGAATAAATTTTACAGTCGTCCGATTCTAAACGCTTCCTCAAAATAATTTCGTATTATAACAATTTATGTTGTTAAATCGAATTCCAAGATGTTTATGCATAAAAATTTAGCTGCTAATCTCTTACCAATTCTGTGATATACACATTTATAATTTAGTTTCAATATCGGTACAGTCCTAATAATAATATCAGATTTTTAGGGTTATAAATTTTTAACCAAAACTAGAGATAGGCGTGAGTTCTTTTTATATAAGATGCCAGGGATTAGAATAAATATTAGATAAAATATAACTTTTTTTTCTAGCTCTCCTTCCTTCCTTCCCTTCCTTCCTTCTCTTCTCTTCTCTTCTCTTCTCTTCTCTTCTCTTCTCTTCTCTTCTCTTCTCTTCTCTTCTCTTCTCTTCTCTTCTCTTCTCTTCTCTTCTCTTCTCTTCTCTTCTCTTCTCTTTCCTCTCATATAAATGCGTGATGTGGGCTAAGGTACTTAATAGAGGGTTATGCCGATCCACAAATTTTTTTCCGATCCGATATTTTTAGATATTCATACAAAATCGATATGATATATATCATAATATTTGGCATGAAAATATAAGCTTTTAACTATTAGCAAAACAAGATATAACTTTGTTTTTCGTTTCTCATGGTCAATGCGATATTTGATGTATCATCACCAGAGTTGTTAAAGTATCTAGATATAAAAATGTAGTATCTGTATCTAGATAGATTTTTTAGAAAGGTATCTGTATCTAGATATTTTTTTAGAGGTATCTGTATCTGTTTTTAGATACTTTTAAGATACATTTTATATACCCCTTTTTTTTTATTATAAATAAAAAATATTTGACTGTAAAATTTATTTTATTTCATATGAGCTTATGAAATAAATAAATATATATATATATTAATATTTATTAATACTATAATAAAGAAATATATATACATAAAATATTAAAACTTATATATAAAAAATCTATATAAATATTCATTAATTTAAATATTATGTCCGAGTTTATCAATAAACCATACAAATTTTAATATTACAATATGTAAATGGTAAATTTTATTTTATAACTAAATTTTTAAGTTTATATATTTATTTAGATCTATATCGATGAAGAAGAGGAAGCAACAACAAGTTCTATTGCTTTACCATGGCCAATTTATAGAGCATATTAAAATAATATCTCAATACAAAGAAAACAATTCTCTGATGGTAAAATGTTTGCCGTGTCTACCTAAAAATACAAAAATATCCGTCAGTATGACTTCAACGTGCAATATCGTGAAGCACATAAGGGTATAGATATTATATATTTAAAATTCTAATTTAAATTTTAAGAGAAAACATCCAACCTTGTTAACAAAAAATAAAAAAGGGGAAAATAAAACTACCAAAGAAAATATTGGACAAGGCTCATCCTCCAATAATATTTTTGCTAAAAGACCTTTGACTTTAACTCAAGGCACTTTAGATGATTTAATTATTGCTTTTATTATAGATGGCATGCAGCCATTTTCAATTGTTGAAAATCCTTCTTTTAAAAAAATGATCAACACTTTGGCTCCACACAAAAATATAATTTGCCGACAGACAGTTGTTGGTAGAATTTCCCAAAGATGGGAAAATGAAAAGAAAGAAATAATTAAAAGTCTTATAGAACCATCATTAATATGCACAACAGCAGATTGTTGGAGTGCCTATCGCCGGTATAGCTAACAATTAAATTTGTATAATAATTAATTAAGAATAAATTATTTCAGCAATTTTAAGAAATTTTAATTTTTAGTTCATACATAGGAGTAACCGCTCACTATATAAATCCAATAAGTTTGGAAAGAAAAAATATAGCGTTGGCTTGTAAAAGAATGACTGGTAGTCATACATATGATAAAATAGCAAAAAATTTACAAGATATAGCTAAGGATTATTGCATTCAAAATAAAATTTCAAAGACCATTACAGATAATGCCAAAAATTTTATAAAATGTTTTAGGTTTATTTTATTGTAAATAAATATAAACATAATATATGATTGATTTACTTAATTTATTAAAGAGTTTTCAAGCCAATTGAAAGTAATACAAGTGAATCAATTAATGATCTGGAAGATGAAGCAGTTGTGCCAATTTCTATATCAAATCTTTATAATACTGCACAGGATTCTGAATTATCAGAATCATTAAGTTTACCTCATCACCAATGTTGTGCCAGTCACACATTGAATCTTATAGCCACTGTGGATGCCAATAGAGACATGCAGTGTAAACAATATCAGAGGGTAAAACTAATTTTAATTAAATAAGTAATATTTTCTTCATTAGATATATAGCACAACACTACATAAATGCCAAAATATATGGAATAGGCAAAATAAGTCTCCTATTTCATCTGAGATTATTAAGGAATATATTGGTCGTTATTTTATATGTCCTAATATAACTAGATGGAACTCCACCTATAATGCCTTACAATTAATGTCAAAAATTATAAAAGCTAAATCTGACAAAGTGGACAAGATATGTGATGGAATAAAACTACCTAGGTTTTTACCTAATGAATATGATTTTATTCATGAATATTGTTTAGTAAGTTATAAATAATATTTATATATGTAGCATTATTTTAAATTAGCTAATGAAGCCAATAGCTAATTCCCTTGATATTTTGCAGGGAGATAAGTATATGTACACAGCTTATTACTGTGCAACTATTTCACAACTTATTATCAAATTAAAGAATTATAAAGAAATGAACCTGAGATTCTGTTTACCACTCTTAGATGCCTTACATAAAGGGATTGAGGATAGGTAAATTAATATAATAAATTAAAAATATTTAATAATTCTAGGTTTATTGTGACCTTATTTGAAGATGATAATATTATAGCAGCCATGCTCCACCCTTTTTTTAAACTTGATTGGACATGGTTGCAAATGGAAGAAAATCTTAATAAAAGAAAACAATTGATACAAAGATTAGCTGGTGAATTATCAAAGTCATCAACTGACTGCAAGCAAATAACCTGCCAAAAAAAAAAAAAATTAATTTCAGATTTTTTTCAGTACCCTACAGC